GGCGACTGGCGAGGGGTGCGCTTCCCCTGATGGCGGCGTTAGGGCTTGTGCCCGTGTTGCACTCCGCTAAGGGTTAAGCATCGCAGTAACCAGCTGACTTGGTCCTGTCCCGTTTCTCAGGTGGCAGTTGATATGGAATTTGCCAAAAACATGTATGAGTTGCACAAGAAGGTGTCTCCTAGCGAGATCATTCTGGGCTGGTAAGTTTTCCTTCCGCAAGAACGTGCAAGCAGTTGTGTTGGTTGCTTAAACTACTTGAAATACATAATTCTCCTTGTCACACATTGAGAAGCAGCACTAAGGCTCGTGACAGTAAGATCTGGCAGCTCTTGTTGTAGAGTCTGTTGTAGAGCTGCTGCAATTCATAACAGGAAGAGAAGGTACTGGAGACTTAGAGTGTTTGGTTTTTTTTATATCTAGAAAAGGTGATCACAGAGGAGTGATCAGTTAGAGAATGCTTGCATGGATTTGTTAGAAGAACTTAGCCCCCTGTAATACAATTTGCACCATGGAGGTTAACTGGTTAGAAAGAAGGCAGAACGTGAAAGAGTAATTTCAAGTACCAGAGGCCTCAGGAGGAATCAGTGATATAAGCTTGAGCACACAGAAGTTCTCTGCTGAGAAAAGATGGAAGTACTTGTGTGGGGGGTGCCAAGCAAGATCAGTTATGGGAACAGAGTCTGTGTCCAAGTGTGTGGATAGATAGCTTTATCAATCTTTTCACACTTCTCTGATCCTACAAAATAGCGTAGTTCTGTTCCTGTGGAGCAAACTTCCTCAACAACTTTCTAATGGCACAGCAAAGTGCAGTTCTAATGACAGGAGGTTTCCTCTGTATGCAAGAAGCTAATTGCAGAGCAGTTAAAGGAGCTAGATTAACAAGTTATATCTCCTGCAGAGAGATGTTTTGATTTTTGGAACATCTACTTGGTTCGTCCAAATTTGTTTGGCATGCTTTGGCTTACATAGAAATAAATAGTTGGTCCAGAACATAGTGACAGATAACCGAATCTTCGGTGCCTGATGTCAACTGTACTGACTCTTCATGGCTGGTACTACAACACTGGCCCTGGGCATGTTTTGGACATGTGTGTGCTCAGCCTGCCATTCTGAAAATTCTAGGACAGCTGGCCGTAAAACTATAAATTCCATAGTTAAAACACTTGTATTTAGTATGCTACTGCAGCTCTGTGTTTGAAAATCAGTGTTTTAGGATACAAACCTGTTAAACACCAACAATACCAAACATTGGGCACTTGAATGTTGGAAGAACAGCTCCTCAACCTGTGCTCTTTTGAAGGTATGCAACAGGTCATGACATCACAGAACACTCTGTCCTGATCCATGAGTATTACAGCCGGGAAGCGCACAATCCAATCCACCTCACTGTGGACACGAGTCTCCAGAATTCACGCATGAGCATTAAAGCCTATGTCAGGTACTCTGGGAGGCTGCATTTCTGGGAGGGGAGCTATGTGAATTACTGAGAGAGACCACATCATGGTAATGAGAAATGCAGTGGGCTGCAGTGTCCCATTTTGGACAATGTTGTGCAGTAGCTGAAACACAGCAGTAAGCCAGGGAATATCTTGAGCTTTGTATGTAAGTTGAAAGACTTAACCTTTCATAAGCTAGTACCTTGTTGGGGTGGGGAATTGTGATAATTAACAGTGTTCTGAATGTCTTTGTGGCATTTCACAGGATTCATATAGCTAGCATTAATGTCACTAACCTCCATCACACTGTCTGAATGCTAGCCCATAGTCCTGGGCTTTATTGCCCGTTGGAGGATTAGTGCGGTTAAAACATAACTGAAACAGCATCTTCTTGATCAATCTTTCTTCCCCTTTACCCTTCCATTTTTATCAATTAATAATGGAGATTAAATATTGAGAAATTAAACTATTCCACCTCACTGTTGTTCTCAGTACTGGCTGAAGAGCTCCTCTAAGGAAAATACCCCAGCCTTCCTTTGTAGCAGAAGTCTATTGCTTCTTGACTGTGCACCTTCAAAAAGGAAGCTGTTCCATGACATCTCAAAGCATAAATGGACTTCAAATACTTTGAATAATAGGAATAATAAAGGTCTTGAGAATGCTTTGTACTTGGAATATGTCATACCTATGTTTGTTCCGTAAGTGGTTTCTCAAAGCATGGAGTATTTCAGGATAGAAGATACACCTGTTCTATAAGCAAGAAGGAACTGTGGAAAAGAAGATAGTACTGAGCTCTTCATGCATTCATGCTGACAAATGTCAGACCAGCTAGGAATAGTCTTAGATGAAAATGAGCAATTAATAGAGTGCCAGGACTGATTTCTTGTCCTCAGTTACCCTGTCTTAATATTGCTGATTTTGGTGAGAATGAGTGACCTACTCATGTTCACACTTCAGTACTAACAGAGATCATTGAGATAGAAATCTATTATTTCCTCCCTTAAATATGTCCATGCTGAAAATGTTCTGTTGTTGTTTTGGTTTTTTTTCCCTAGTGCCCCAATGGGAGTCCCTGGTAAAACTATGGGCGTGATGTTCACACCTCTAACAGTGAAGTATGTTTATTATGATACAGAGCGGATAGGAGGTGAATGTTTTCTTCCTATTTTGGTTATAACCATTGTTTTGACACTGTTCAAATGCCTTTTTTCACCCTGGTAGAATTGCCATTCTGGGAATTCTACCAGAAATTAGACTGTCTTGCTTGAAGCTATCCTAAAAATCTTCAACAAGTTAAGGATTTAAACTGTTTTCTGTGGCATTTTTTTCACTGATCCTCCTTTTGCTTTCAGTGGATCTTATCATGAAGACTTGTTTTAGCCCTAATCGAGTGATTGGCTTGTCCAGTGACTTACAGCAGGTGGGGTCAGCATCAGCCAGGATTCAGGACACCCTGACCATGGTGCTGCAGTATGCAGAAGATGTATTGGTAAGGCCATCTTTTTATGAGCCAGTAAATAAGTTTGATGTAAGCTTGTACATCTTGATTTTTTTTTTTTTTTTTGATAAATTCTCTTTCTGGGCCACAAACTTAGTGATTTTTACTCACATTGAAGTATTTGTTTCTTCTGCTTAGTCTGGCAAAGTGGCTGCTGACAACACTGTTGGGCGTTTCCTCATGGATCTTATTAATCAGGTGCCAAAGATTTCACCAGAGGACTTTGAGACAATGTTAAACAGCAATATCAATGTAAGTTCATGATCTATTTTTTTTCAGTGTATTGCCAGCAATTTTGAAAATTTGTTACACAGACACAAATGTCTGTGATTAAAACAATCTTTTTATAGAAACATGTTAATAGAAAATACAGCTCTTGTCAGTAATTTGATGTTTTAAGAGGTGAAGATGGATGAAGGAGCTCACCATAGTAAATCTTGCAAGCAGCTGCAAGTGAGAGAATAAATTTTAAAGTACTTAAGAATTACGCAAATAATCTGAAAGCCAGCACCAATTCTTTTAGAGTGATTGGACAATATGAATTACGATGCTTAAAAGCAGTACAGATTTCAAGGATAACTGGTGACTGGCCAGCTTCCTTTGCCTGAGCTGATGTTCCATCTCCTTACATAACACTTAGGACATGAACAAGGTTTTAGTGTGCTACCTTATTTCTGTAACAGATTGTTAGAAAGCAAAAGCAAAGTTTCTGAATGTGTTGTTCACCCACCGTCTGCAAGACCAGAACTAATTTTTAATTTTGCTGATACCCTTTGACTTGCCTGGTTAACATGGGTGAACTCAGAGTTAAAATTTCACAAGTGGTGTTTCATATTCTGGGAATACCAAAACCTTCTTCCTGCAAGGGAAGCATTCCTCAGGGTAGGACTTTCAGGACTAACAATATTTGTAGTAGCTGATTGTAAACTGTTTTACAGGTGTTAATAATTCAACTCCCTGATAGGCTACCATCTTTGTTAATATTTCTGATCATTGTTTTTTCTTCCCCTCTCAGGACCTACTGATGGTAACCTACTTGGCAAACCTCACACAGTCACAGATTGCTCTCAACGAAAAACTTCTGAGTTTATAAAGCAACTTCTGCCACCCTGCACTTCAAAAAGCCTGAAGAATGAGCAGATACAGTTTTCTATGGTGGTGTTACAAATTTCCTTGGACCGTAATTTCATTACCTAGATGACTGTGTTTACATCTTTATTTCCATTGCCCTAAAAAAATCCCTAACATAGTTTAGGAAATGAATGGGAGCAGCTGCGGTTTAGTTGAGCCCAGTATTTTAAAATGAAATACATGAATCTCTTGTCTCCTGGGTTTATCTACTTGTATAACAAAATACAGCTTTATTCTAAGAATGTATTTGAAATAAAAATTCCATTGCAATGGGAAGAATGGCTTCTGTCCAGCAAAAACTGTTCTCATTTATTGTATAATGAGTCCGCTTTTGAAAGAAAGAGGGGATAACATCACATCAGGAAAGAAAACTAGAGTACATGCAAGTAAACTCCAATTCTGCAGACTACTTTGCAGGTTTTTTTGCCAACTGCTAAAGCACTCTGAAAGCATGGCTTCTTGTGTTGCACATAATACGCTTTTTCAAGGAGGGCTACAGAATGGTCACTGGCTTATTAGTGGTGCTGTGTATATGCCCTTCTACAACAGGGTACTGACAGAGTACGAGACAGCAAATTCAGTTTACACTATGGTATCATTTCTATCCATGTCTGATCCTTTGGGAAAGGAAATCAAGGTCAATAGCATCAGCCCTTCATAAAGTGAGGCTTCAGAGAATTATACTAGCAATAAAGTTCATGGTTAAAAGGTCTTGAAAAGCATTTGTGGCTACTGGAGTTGCCATCTTTGCAAAAGTACAGCAAAACTACATGTCATGAAGTTTTGAAGGTAAAAGTTGGGTGTCATCAAATCTGAATTTTCTGTCATGACCCTGTGCTGCTGCTAAAATTATCTGAACAGAAACTTTGCATTTTCTCCCCAAAACCTGTTTCACATTAAATGAGTTCTGGCTGAAAGAAAGCCAGTAACAATCTGAGCCGTTACAGTCTTAGCTAGTAATGTTTCCTTTAGAAGTCCATTCAGCTGTACTGAGGAGGTTTTGGTGTCCCTCTTCTACAACATAACTGTTCCCACCTAATTACTAGTGACTACTGATGCCTCACATCTTTTGGTAAATGAATTTGAAATGTTAGAGAAGCCTGCAAAGCCAGTGTTCCCCAAAATAATTTGCCAGGTAAATCCAAGAATGGGACTCAAGTTACAAATCTGTAGATCCTGTACTTGTTCCAATCTGGAGAACTCCCCCAGTGACTCAGTGCGAAATTCTAAACTCTAATTGCAAGGACAAGGTACATGAAAACTGAAGGTAATAGCAAAGATTCTAATCTCTTTGAAAATGTTATTCATGAGCATTAAATAAGAGTTAAAACTCAGCTCTTGTTTTTTGTTAGTCTGAATAAAAATGTTTTGTTCTCCCTTTTCTTCTTTAAACTTAATATTCATAACTTCGGCCATTTAACTATTTCACAAATTTTCAGGTGAAGGTGTTTTTTTAAAGTAAGCCTTGAAATAGGTAGAGGAAAAGAGAAAGCAGCAAAGCGTGCTCAATTACTGCAAAAAAGTTACAGGGGGAAAAGCATAATATTCTTTCCATGATCTCTCCTCTGCAGCAAGCTCTCACCATTCCCTGTTAGGAAAATGGATAAAATGTAAGAAGAAAAATTTTAAATGTGCAAGTTGAATAACTATGCTATTTAATAAGCTGCTGTGCACAAAATGCAAAGTTCTGAGAAAAAAGATCCATTTGTGATGATTGATACAGAAGAGGTATTGTGGAACTTGCCAGCCCTTGCAAATACCTGAAGACTAACGATGATATGCCATAGGGGACTGAGGTTATGTCCTCATACCTTCAGTCTAGGTAGAAAGACTTGACTGCAAAGCAGAGGCATCAGAAGAGGCCACAATCCATAGGTTCAGTTGTATGCCAGACAGCACAGTGACAAATGCTTGGAATTGGAGTGGGAAAAAAATAGTTGTCAGTTTAAAAACTCTGTATCTGATCCCATCCATTCTGTCCCTTTTTACTGGGTGAACGGCACATCATGAACCTTACATTGACTCTGGAATTTTGAATGCCTCATATGAAATTTCAGCGGCCACTCTTATGAAGCACAATATTGCAAACACAAATGTAATGCGTCATTTTTCTTAATTGTAAAGCCTGGGCTGTATTGTCACTTAAGACACTGAGGCATTCGTTCTCTGGAGTTTGAAAATCTAGATGGAAACTCCTAAAGGTCTTTTATTCTAATTGTTCCACTTCATGGAAATCTATCTAAAAACTACAACAGACAAAAGTTCAGTAGAAGATCTGGTGGGAAAAGCTTGGGAGTCAAGAAACATCATAAAGAATTTAAAGCTTTAACTTGCTGTTGATTTGTAAACCACAGATTTCTTGGATTTATTGGGCAACTTTTTCCTTTTGTTTGTTTGTTTAGGTTATGCTGCTCTAAATAACTTTGACAAAGTCTAGCTTTAGTCAAAACAGATAGTTCTCTGGGTATGCTTCTATACACACTTTATATATTTAGTCATATTAGTGCCCTCACTAATATAATAAAAAGCATTTCTGTCCTCTGAGATATGTTCGGCCTTTTTGTTTTCTTAGATGGCTTCCCTGAATGAGTACAACTTTACTGGACATTACGTATTACATGTTTGGTTTTGGTAATGTGCATGTTTTCCTGGTAAGTATTAGGCTTTAAAATACCTTGCTTAAATGGCTCTGTTAACAGCTCCTAGCACTCAAGTATTTAATTGCTCAAATGATAAGATCTTTTTTGTATCCTGGCTTAGTTCAGCTGATCTTGGGTTTTTACCACAACATGACATTCTCCTTGAAAACTTCTTTTCCTCAATATACATAACAATATTCAAAACAGAGTTTACTGTTACAATTGATTCTCATGTTCTAAGTCTGTGTACTTAGAAAAGTTGGAGGAATGTATAAAATCAGTCCATCTTGCTGCCTTGGACCCTTCTCAGACATATAATCTCAGTCAGCCTCAACAAAGGAACAGAGTTTCAGCAAAGCATCTCTTAGCAGTACAAAGAGGCAATGAAACCTTGTCCTTTTTCAGTGAGCATGATGACCTCAGACCACCTGCAGTTCAATTGGCATGCAGACATTATGCTTTGTTCCGCCATCTTCCTAGTGTAGCAAGACTGTGCTTGTTCATGTCTTTGAGCAAGCATATGTAAAACCCACAAGCACATGTAAGTACTCAGTGTTACTTATCAAAATCCATACAGGCAGGATGAACTATCTTTAACAGAAATGCCGTCTTAAAATTGCAGGAGGGAGCTGGTAATGCTCCAGTATTTCTTAACTGATGACAGTCTCAGCAGTAGAAAGAAGGTGGTGTACCACAATGAAACTGCAGATACCTGACGGTAATTAGCTTCCCTGTGCTCTGTTGTCATCTGCAAGCCTTTAGATGATTCTTCAAGAGATATTAGTGGACAGGCAGCACACAACAGTCAGGTTTCCCTATGACTGCTATCCGGTACTTAAGATTGATGCTGCACAGAACAGTTCTGGTGGTGGTGACTAGGATTAGAGTAAGATCCTGAAGTGAGTCCTTGCAGACTGTATTTTGTTACTGTTAGTTTGCTGGTTAAGCTAAAAAGCAGTTGAAATTTGACATTCTAAATTAATGTAACTGAAGAAAAGGGCTAATACTATGTGTTTCTCTGGGTAGGAAAAGAACTTTGTGCTGCTAATTTGGTGTGTTTAACAGACACTTCATTGTTGTCATCTTCTCTGGTTCCATGTGTCCACTAACTTTATCTTAGAAGGGGTTTCCTGAATCACAAATTCAGTTCTTTCCTGTCTTGACCAACCATATCTTAAATTCTATTTTAAATATACCTAAATATAACCCCTATGTCCTTACTGAAGTTCTTATTTCATGCTCTCCCTAGTATTTATACATAAAATGTTACAGGTAGCCATCATACTGTAGCCTTCATTTTACTAAACATATTAAGCTTTCTTCTGACACACTGTTTATGCTTTGATTACTTAGCTGCCCACTTTAAATTTCAGTCTTTCCTGTACTTGAGTTGGTAAAGACCATACCCACATCAGCATATAGATCAATGAATATAAGATGACATTAATACTTTCCTGTGATAAATTCCTTGTTTGCCTCTTGGTGTCTGTCATGTAGTGTGACTGAGCACCCCAATCTCTTGCCCCTGCTGTCACTTGCAGCTGAACTCCAATTTGCCAGGAAAATTATTAATTTAAATGTATGACCTGGCATTATGACACTTTTTAATTAAAAAAATCTGGATCCACATATTTCTCCTGGTTTGGAATATTCTCAGTATTGGTGCCAGCTCACAGTTTTGTCAGTAGGTATCACTAGCTTATTCCTAACTTTTGTGCCCTACTCAGTTAAGAAAAAACTTGGAATTGATCCCAGACCAACTTAACAGAATTCAACAAATTCCCTTTCCAACACAGCGTTTGTTCTTTCTGACACATTGTTTATCCTTGCTCATGCTAATTCCTGTTGTCTGTAGTTTAACTAATTATGGGTTCTTGTCAAGCCTTCTGTGGACATCCAAGTGGTTTATACCGATTCCTCATTTAGAATGTACATTTTGTCAAACTGACTCAGTATGTCCAGTGATTATCTCTGATAAACCATGTGTTTGGTTGTAAGCCTTGGAAAGTGGAGATAAGACTAATTGTTCTATATTGTTGAGAATAACGAACTTTCTATTTTACTATCTGCAATTTGATACTTAAAAAAACCCCACCACCCTGCTGCCAGAATTACAATTTCATTTGCTGATTATTTCCATATACTGGGATGAAGGTCACTAAGTTTGCCTTGCTGAGTCATTTAAGTTTCTCAGCAGAATACTTAAGTCTACTGCAAAGAGGAAATAGTGTTTTGGTGTGTGATTTTGTGAGCCTGTGGACATACGCCATCTACTAGTAACTAATCTGAAATGCATGGTTTTAATCCTCAGGATTAAAAAAATTGATGGTGAGAAATGTTGGACATGCTGCTCTTTTAAGTAGTCTAGCAGAACCACCTACTGTTTTCCTTCTGTGCTTTGAGGAAGAGTGAAGCTTCCATTTCTAGTGTGGTTCCACACAACAGAACTAGAGATCCTGGTGGCAACCCAGTTGCAAGCTTGGTGTGAAATCTTGCTGTTTGGATTACAGTGGGTGGAGCCCTAACATGACTCACTGGCAGTGACTCTCACTTGAGCAGCTAACCAAACACACGGCTCTTACTTAAGTGAACTGAACCTGCTCTGCTCTCTGTTCACATGGAAGGTTAACTCAACAGCTA